CGGTTCAGACCGGCTGGACTGGTTCAGCCCCGTTTATTAATCAGTTCAGTAAATTCATGTCCGATCAGTTCATGTTAAGTCAATTCCGGTTATTCCGGATTAAGTCTAAATATAATGTCAGGTTCAGGAGAGCATCTTAACGAAATAAATCAGTTAAGTTAATGATCTGAGCATAGTCATTAGTAATTGTTTATATTATTTTCAGTTTGATCAGGCATCAGTACTACCGTTCAGTTCAGCAGTTCAGGTGGGGGCTTAGACTAAGTACTACATTGATTATAATTACAGTACCATGTTTGAGGTATGTATTTCAGTTGAGGTATCCGCTCGGAATGGTCACCGGTCCATTCTGGGTTCTAGTGGCCCTAGTCTGCCCACTAGAGTGTGCACATGGTGTCCGGCTTTGCCGGCAGATGAGGTAACGGTCAGGGTCACGTTTGCGTGACGATTTCAGATTCATGTTCATGTTATTACCGGCTTGAGGTTGAGGTTGAGGTTATGTATATACTGATATCATGATGTTGTTATTATTTTTAATGTTTACATTAGTATGAGTTTCCACAGAGCACAGTGCCATAGTGCTCATTTCCCACTTTTATCATGTTTTTCAGGTCAGGACGTCGGGCCGGGAGCATGAGCTGACGGAGGCTTCAGGACAGTTATGTTTTTGACTGTATAATTATTATGATGACTTACGCTTCCGCTAACGATGTTTTTGATGACGTTTTTGATGACTTTTGACGTACTCATATTTTGACGAACTTATCTTTTGACGAACTTTTGGGAAACTTATGCTTTCTGTAACCGGATGATTTTCTTAAAAAAAAAAATTTAAAGTAACGGTTTTCCAGATTAAGTCACGATTTTAAAGGTAGCACCCCGAATCAGTTTTCGCAAAGTAAAAGGCTTTATTCTTAAATAACTTTGCGAATTTTTGCGCACTCTGATTTAACGATAAGGCGGGGTGACTCATTCGAGCTAATACAGATCCCTCGAGGGGAGAATGGTCGAGCAGATTTGTTGTCAAAGATTGCTCAGAATTTGGTGGATTGTAAAAGCAGAAGTGTAACTCTTTTACATTTAGAAAGAAGCATAGTCGAGGCGAAAGTGGCAGAGATTGAGGAAGTGAAGGATTGGAGGGCCCCGATCTTAGAGGAGCTGAAAGAGGGCGCGATAAAGGTAGTGAGAACATTTTTTGAGCACGGAGGCATTCTTTATAAGCGTTCGTATGCTGGGCCGCATTTATGCTGCGTGACTAAGGAGGAGGGTCAATATGTACTGAGAGAAGTGCACGAAGGATGCTGCAGCGACCATAGCAAGTCGGGAGCCTTGGTTGCGAAAATTCTGAGGGCGGGATACTTTGGCCGACGAAGAAGGAGGATGCGAAAACGATGGTGAG